GAAAGAGTTCGAGGGTTCCATGCAGCTGGTTTCCGCTCTGTGAATAGCGAGGTCGTCGGGTTCGGGCTGTTGGGCCGACAGCACGAGAGCAAAGTGTGAAAAGGGGACGAGGGACTAAAAACGAAAGCCGCCCTTCGGCCTTTTTTTTTTTTACTTATCGGTGACGTATATTTCTTCATATATTTCCTACATTTGATTTCCTGTTTTGTCATCAACGTAGAAATAGTTGAAACAGAGCTGGTGTGGCGTTTAACCCCGTTCGACCCCGGCAGCGATGAAGAAGACACACGGGAGGATGAAACGCGGATCTCTCTTGTTGACGTGCGGCATCGACGCGCAATGTTTACGCTCACTGTGCCGAGTGTGTGCTGCTACGTGTGAGGCCGCCTCAGTTAAGCTCCTCTATACTCTAAATATTGGTTTTGAGTCTCGCACAGCTTACTCGAGGGTCCACGCGCAGTGCCGTGTATTTATTTTCACCGTTTGCTGCAGCTGTCGTTGCTCTTCCGGGACAACACAAAGTTAGCTACAACTTTAAAGTAAAAAGTGAGACAAAACTAACAGCCTCACATTGTCCTTTATTGAGCGTTTTGGGGTTTCCTCTCGTTGTCTATTCCATCTGAACAACTCGCACTTAATGGACGGTTGATTGAAGGGAAAGCTGAGGTTAAATTACCCGTCACTAAAATGCTGAATGTCCATTTTCGAATACACCCTCTTCATTCCAACGAGATTCCTAACTATTTATTTGCACTGTGTGACAAGCCGTGACGAACGTGAGTGACAGGTCGTCTGATTGTGAGGTTGATCACCTGCTAGATTGAGTTTAGTTTATTTTTTAATCTGGGATTTAATGCGAGTGGGAGAAAGGAACACATGCTAAATACGAACATCTGCTCAGCCTCAGGTCAGTGATGTGGGCAGATTCAAAACCATCCAGGAACAGAGACTTAGATGCGCGTCGAGTTATTCCAACAAGCCGGCCAGCCGGTTGGATTATTAAAAACTGGAATGGGTGTTGAATTTTGATGTATTTTAGATGAGTAACCAGGAGCATGAGAAAGATGGCAAGAAGTTTCATTAGTATTTATTCCCTTTAGTATGTTACGATGAATGTTTTTACCAGTGATTTGTGTACATAGTTTTTTATTTCATTTTGAATTGTCTGTTTAAGATTGCCTTTTGAGTCTAATGAGGTCACCATGTTTTTCACCTCACTGTGACTCACTGAAAGGTGTGTTAATGGATATCAAGGCCTGATGTCATGTTCACATCCCGCGTTTTTCTACTTCAAGAAGAAGAGTAGTTTCTAGCCGAATCCATAATTCATTGCAGCGCGTAGCAGCACAATCACATGAAGCACTTTGCAGATTTAATGGGTCTGTGAGCGCCGAGAGAACGGGAACATGTTTTCACTGCCCTGCTTTTGTCTAAAAAAACAGAAAGAATGCTCCCGCAAACCCTAAAACAGCAGGTGGAAGAGGGGGGAGAGAAACAGAGTTGTTGCTTATCAAATCGATACCCCATTGTGCACGGTCGACTGCTCAAAAACTCCCTCGTGCTCTCGTCTCCCTTTGTTCGTTTTTTCAATTTCTGGTAGCAGGAGATAGAAAGTGCGTCAACCGCACACGGGCTGGAGTGGTGATGAAAGGGAAACGGAGAGGTACGGACACGGAATGAGGGAGAGCAGCCCTGGAACAGCCTTTTTCTGCTTTATTCTAAGGGGTGTGTGTCCCTCTCTCCCGAGCAGATAAGAAGAGAACGAATGTTTGGATGGAAAAGCCATTGTTCTGTTCTATCAGCGGGATAACAAAAAACAACCACTAAATATAAAAGAGTAGCATGGATTGGATGGTCTGATCTGTAATTAGATCAAACTGAAATGTGTCAGCAGATTCGCAGATGTCCTCCGAGTCTTTGAGAAATATTTTCTTGGCTTTTTATCGTAAACTAGTGGTAATAAACTGATCTGGTTACTTCTGGAAATGTTTGTTTTACACTTACACTTCACGTATTTTATTTGTGATGCAAATTGGCAACAATTTTTTTCCGATCCAGAGCAGCGTTTGGCTGTTTGAGGGGAATTGTCGTTAAGTCGGCTACTCTGAGCTTTTTTATTGAATTCCCTTTGAACGAAGCGCTCGCAGTATAAAACCGCGCAGCAGGCTTTACGTGCGCTGCCTTCGCTGTAAAAGGTTACGACGTAAAGAATGTAGCTCGTACGCGTCGCCTTTGCCAAGATATATTTGGAATATGTCCGTTCCAAACATCGTGATTCAGAGTTTTTTTTTACACACTTGGGGTGTGATGAACACAATATTGTATAATAATATTGTATAATATATATCAATAATGTTAAAAATATTATATTTCTAGGACTTTTACTGTGCAAAGTGAGAAGAGAAGCAGTGGATCTGGTCTTTGTCGAGGTTGAATTGAGGTGCGAGTCCCCTTATTGCCTTAAGAAGGACATTTGATGCGATAATACGTGGTAAATAATAATGTTACGCGACTGTGAGGACGATCAGTTTATTGATTGATGAGGATGTAGCAGGAAGCGTCGACGGGGCGCGTGTCTGAACTTCCTACGTCCTCCGTCATATGACCACCGCCAACGAGCACCAAACAGATACAGGCGGGAACGCACGGCTTAATCCAGCCGGAACCTTCGGTGTCCACTCAGGACAAATAAATCCGACCGGATGCCTCCTCCCCCTTTTTCAACACGACCTGAGACTTTCCACGGATGCAGAGGAGTTACTGATCCGGCGCAGTGTGTGTGTGTGTGTGTGTGTGTGTGTGTCGGGGAGAAAGGGGTCAGCGGGTCGTATCTCGGTGGATTAGCGGAAGCGGGCGGAGCAGCAGAAGCTTAAATCGGTGTATGAGTTGAGACCAGATGACAGCAGGTTGCGTTTTATCCTGCTTCCCTTTTTCTCCCCGCAAATCTCTGCTGAAGAAACCCCCCCCCACAAAAATAGGGGAAGGTCACTTTATAAAGCACATCAGAATGTCGTTCAATACGGCACATTTTGTTTATTGCTTATCAGTTGTAAACTTGCTGGTAGCGTCAGAAGGGAAGCACCTACAATCTGACAATCCTTACATTTCAGGGACGTTGGGAAGGGAAACAATAAATGGCTGAATATTACGTGACTCCTGCCTCTCAGACGATGTAAATCAACGAACGGCATCCAGCTCCGGATGGACCTTAAACTCTCATGTTCGGCCCAGCAGCAGATGGCTGATGGCTCTTCTCTTTCTCCCTCCATCACTTCCGTCACTCAGCTGCCTCGGCGCCTCTCCCTTCCTAACCGGTGTTTCTGTTTGTTCTGTTCCTGCCTCTCTCTCTCGCTCTGGGCTTTTCTCCAGTTCACATGATGAGCTGGTGGCCAACACGGGCAAACATTGGCCAGAGCACGCGGAGCAGCAGGGCGCAGCGTCGGTACATAACTTTCTGCCTGATCCCTCTGCAACGCCTACTCACCGCGCCTCACCAGCGGAGAGCTGCTGAAGAGACACCGGCCGAGTTCAGCTTGTAGAGTACAAGGGTTTCTTTGTGTTGACTGGATGGCTTTACATTGGATATCTTTGGGTATATATATATATAAGACATTGCAGCGTGCAAAGTGATTGATTGAATACCAGGAAAGGAGAACTGCCTTATCGAAGATAACGAAGAGGACATCCAATGCCGTGACCTTCTTCAGCAAACCGATGATGCAATGAATGGAATAATTTCATACATGCGAACCAACATTTAGTGCTTGTAATGCTCATTTTTTTAGTTTTTGTTTTGTAAGAATGACGTCTCACCACAGCAGCTATTATCTATACACAATCATATACTAAAGATGATGCAGCACGGCTGGATATTAATTGTAAGCCACATCATCTATTTGAATATAAGATCTATGGGGCCGATGGGAGGAGCCTTTGTCTGAGGGGTGTTTTTGTTTTTACCTCCAATGGCTAAAAAACAAGTGTTTTGACGCGACAGTCATAATCTGTTCACAAGGGGGAGCATTATCACCACTAACCCCCCCCCCCCCCCCCTCTCCCTCCCTCCACCCTCCTCCACCCTCCAGTCACTCTGTGTTAAAAGGTACCACACTTCCACTCATTTAACATTCGAGCGAGCAAGGTAGAAAATTGCTCTCGGCTCTCGGCAAGTGGCTCCAGGTGCCCATCAGTTTTTTTTTTTGGGGTTCTCGCCAAACCGGTTTATTGGAGGATTCGACGCGTAGCAACGGTGAGACAACCGGATGGATTTTGAGATACGGCCCTGCATAGATTTCAACTCTTCTTTGTCACTGATAAGAGGCATAAAATATCAAACCAGACCAATCAATCGCGGGTACAAAGGTACAAAGGTGTGTTTGAAGGGGCACGACTGCCGTTACTTTCACTGAGGGGTGAGCGCCTTTGTTCCTCTAAAGCTTCTAAATCAACAGGTTCAGATTATTTAGAATGTGGGAAGAGGAGGCGAGCAACGAAATAAATGCAACACCATTTTTAAATGAGAATTTCTTTTTAGCCAAAGGTGGGAGCTTGGAGCAAGCGAGGGTCCGGGGGGGTTGGGGGGTGGGGGGTGCCATTAAAGGTGTTGCGTGAGGCCCAAAGGGGAGAGAACGGGCCGGAGGGAGAGCTCATTCCTTGTAATGTAGAAGAAGGAGAAGAAGTCTCACCCACACAAACACGACATGAAAGACTCTCACACACACACACACACACTCTCGCTCCTTTGTGCTTCCACTGAACTGAGCAGAGAGAAAGTAAACACGGTGTCGTTTTTCCCTCAATGGCGACCAGGCGGGAGGAGGGGGGAGGAGGGGGGAGTGGGGGGGAGGAGGGTCCGTCGCAGTAACGTACTTCCCTCCCCGTATTAATGAAATGAAATACCTGATGGACTGATAGACCGGGTTAGTGTTTCCTGTCAGGAGTGACCACAAAGATGCGTGACTTCAGCACATCTGCAGCACATCTGGCCCGCTCTCTCTCACCTGGTTGATGATGTAGATGCCGTAGTCGATCCTCTGCCGTCTGAGGATGGGGTGCAGGTAGTGGAGCCAGTACTTCAGGTGGTTTTCTCGGTGGCGGAACGGGATGATGATGGCCACCTGGACAGCGAGGGACAGTTTGAGTTGATGCATTTGATTGTTTTGTTTGACGCATTTCAACACTTTGTCTCCGTCGGAGACGCATGAATAAATGAATGCTGGAAAGCAAAGCGAGACACACGTTTTCTGGAGACATGGACAAAGAGTCCTGTTGGAGTAATTATGCATAATTGAGCTTTGTTCCATCCTGTGAACTGTTCTGCACCAGAAAATAGTCACGTAAAGTCGGTTCTCATTCATTTTGCATGAAGCAGCTGGAGCAAGTGGCTCTTCATGGCTTTGCACATTTGATTTGTGGCCGTCCTTTGTCTTCTCTGATTAAGTGAGTCTTCATCGGCTGTACCAACAGTCCAAGGTTAAACTATAAGTTATCACGTAAGCAGCGTAGTTCTGCACTCGGATGAAGACTGACAGCCAGACGACCTCGCTCTCTGTGTTATTAAGCATTGTGATTAGTGCGTTTTTGACCGCTGTAGGAGGCGCCCAGGTATCCGTGAAGTATTGTGTGGCCGAGAAAGACAGAAAAACAATATACAGTATAGCACTATGATAAATAGTACTTACGGTGATGGTAAGTAATGGTTTGCTTTGCGATTTTAATCCAACTTTTAAAGACAATACATACAATACAAGTGAAGAAAAAATGACTTTGTAGGAGACAAACTGTAAGTAGACAATTTAATCGCTCACACTTTTTACCTCTATGTTTTTACTATTTCATCGTTTTTACTCCATTCTAAATCACGCATTCATTCTTGTCTTGTGTTTTTCACTACTACATATTGTGTGCGTGAATACACGCTCAGTTTAAAGCACGCGGCGGACACAGACCTTCCATCTGGGCCGACAGTCGGGTGGCGTGTAGCGGCCTCCGTCCGTCACGTTGGGGTTCTCCCTCTGCACTCGTTCCATCGTCATCTGGGAGCTGAACTCGATCAACAAACGCCCCACTGAGGAAACAAGGGGAGACGGAAGCGTTAGCGGGATGACGCAGGAGGAAGAAGATGAAGTGGAGAAATGCACAGATGAGGAAGAAAGAAAGGGAAACGAGGGGTGTAGGGAGTGAGGGACGCATGCGAGCGCTGTTGGCTTTAAAGCACTGCGTTAATGGGATGCACAGCCGTTGTAAAACATGTATTCCTACAAAATAAAGCACGATTTTGAAGTTGGAAAACACAACACAAAAGGCAATTATGCGCCTCGGTGATGGAGCAATACCATATATTATATCCCTACAAATCTATCCAACATGTGTGTTGCTGCTGTGCGAGAGATTCTCGTTTCAGAGCACTTTAGAAATAAGGCTCGGCTTTAAATCTCTGGCCTGCACAATAAATGCAGCCCCTCGTTCGGGGACTAAGGATCATTAAAATACATGAGCAACCGTTTGCATTTTAAGCTCCGTGTCAAAGCCTGCAACCAAAACAGACCACACTCTGGCCACTCCTTTTGGGGCAATATCTCACCAATCAGCCCATGTTTGTATCCGATGTCGGAGGCAGAGAAATAATAATAATAAAAACGCAGCCGTCAGAGCCACAGATAAAATAAGTCTTATGTTGCATATGTGTACGACTGCAGAGCATGAGAGCCAAAACGGATATGACTTAATAATCCAATTAGCATTGATGCGTGGCCTGTCGAGGGGGGGGGGGGGCGCCCTCCGATCGACGCCGGCCGGGAGCACGATCGATCGCAACGAGGTTACATGTTCATAACACGCTTCTTTATCACCCACAAGAATTGAATGCAAATAGTACAAACAGACTGCCCCCCCCCCACCCCCCCCCACCAGCCCGGCACCCTCCACCGTCTCCACTCAAACACTCTCATCTTCCTCTCGCGCACTAATGAGACAGTAAGTAGAACATTGTGTTTTCATCTAATCTCAGAATAACACTGGAAGAAAAAAACAAAAAGATGCTACAGATCGTTTGTTGTGTTGTTGATCTTTAATGAATCAATGCAAGAAATACATATGAACAAACAGCACACTTCAGAGACCTGCACCGTGTGTTATTTAGGTCAAGCCTTACATGCAGAACAAGACAACGAGCATTGTGGGTCTCTGTGACTATAAGAGAGCTGATATACGAGCGATGGTTTCAACGCTTTTAATTTCTCGTCATGATGACAATTATCTCATTCACGCTGACAAACACACGCACGCACGCTTATCTGATATTACTGCGACGCGTTATGATCACGCTGCTCGGCCCGCTGTATCTGGGGCACCGGCTGCATTCTGGGGGACACGTCGGTGCTCCGTCTGCAGGTACACTCATGTACACTCGTTTAGTGTGTGCACCCCTCACAGACACACACACACACACACACACACACACACACACACACACACACAGCGAAATTTTTGGGGGAAAAACTTTTGTTTGTATTCAGTCTAATCGCGTGTCGGGTCATTCTGCAGGGCGCAGATTTGAGTGTCCGTCGCAGCAGGAGACGATTTGTCTTCTTTCGGTAAGACGTGTGAGACGCGCTAGTCGTGACTAAGCTTCACGCCGCCGCCGTTGATGTTCTCCCGCCACAAAGAAAGCGGCCATCTGACCACGGAAGCTAACCAGCAGGCCTGTTCTGAGACTTTTTCTGTGCCTTCGTGCCTTAAGTGACAACCAAGGTCAGATTTCGCAGCGAGAGAGTTTATAATTGAGTTTGGTTCTTTGGCTTCAGGATGAGGGGAGGACAAAGACGGGAGGGAGAGACTGTTCCTCTCCTCCTGCCTCCTTTGTGACAAGAGAGACTTTCCGCTTTTTGAATCGTATTAGCCCGTCCACGTTCTCCTCCCTCCCTCTCTCCCTCTCTCTCTCTCTCCTTCAATCATTTACAAAGGCCTCCACTGTAATTGCCATTCTTCCAGAAAAAGGGGAGAAAGAGGGATGAAAAAAAGATGGAGGAAGAAGATGGCGGGAAAATGTGTGTGAGAGACAAAAATATATTTCTTTCTTCTCCTTCTCCGATATATTTGACTCTGCTTGTCGTCGTTGAAGGTGGGGAAGGCTTCGCTTGGGAATCTCCCCCACGCGCAAAACATCCGGTCCTGTGTGTGTGTGTGTGTGTGTGTGTGTGTGTGTGTGTTAATGTACGGTACCCGTGGGCAGAAACAGAAGCGACCGAGGGTTAAAAGTGTCGCCTTTCAACCGCTCACCAACATGGAGAGCAAAAGGTCGGCGAGAACGCCGTGACGTTTTTCGCCAACCGACAGCTTCGCTTTCACGAGCCGCGCTGCTGGAAAAATGAAGCCCAGACGACTGAAGGAAACACGGACGTTATGTAGAAGGTCGTTTAAAAACCTCTTCGCTTGGTGGATAAAAGGTTTCCCGGAGAGCGCAGCGTGGACAGTTTCAGCCAAGGACCGATTCACAACAGGAAATTGTATTGATTGATATTGAACCGATATCAGAAGGCGTCTTGGAGGCGTCCATTGGTAGACTGTAGGGGCTCACAAGTGGTGAGAATCTGGTGATATTGTACTTATTGTACGGCTGAATCGAGATCATTTAAGCAAAGTAAGGAAAAAACACATATTACATATATGCAATCAGAACTGCAATTGCATTTATGTGTCCCATCCAGTGGTTACAAAGTAACGCGTTACTGTAATTCCATTACTTTTAGCGATAACGAGCATGTAACAAAGTATTTTTTTAAATAAATTAAAGCAGTTACAATTGAAATTGAAATGAGTTCGTTACTCGCGTTACTCTCTTTTGTGACGCGAAGCGGAGGGCCGGCCAATAGTAAGTAAATAGCTGCCTGTCAGTACAAAATAGTTGTGGCCACCAAACGTTGTGTGTCACAGAATAGTCGCCGTACGTGCACGTAAACAGCATCGTGTCGCTCATGACGAAAGAGCGCAGGATGCTGCAGGCGCCGCCCCACGCAAACAACCACGGCTCCACTTTACACGGACTGCAGTGCAGCCGATGAACCGGGCAGAGCTGAATAGATTGATCGCTCGCTATGTGGAAGATGAGATGCATCCTGTCGAGTCAGTTGCCTTCAGGCAAATGCCTGAAACAGTTATTATGTATTAAGTTAAGTATTAAAAAGGACTTTTGTACTATTGCTTGATTTGAAGGCCTGTTGCCCTGTTTATTACAATAAATAGGTCTAAAAAATATGTTTATTGTGTTTGACTGTTCAGTACTATTTATATTCCTTACATTTAAAAAGCAGACATAAAAGTGACTTAAAAGTAACTTTCCAGAGTAACTAATTACTTTTGATACACAGTAACTGGTAAGTAATTCAATTACCTTTAAAAGAAGTAACTAGTAACTGTAACTAAATACTCATTTTCAGTAACTTGCCCAACACTGGTCCCATCCAACATCATAACTCTTCTGTTTGATAGATTACAACACTGCTATCATGCGGTTGGGGTTTCAACACAAAAGGAACCACGTCTGAAATTAATCTTTAAATGTAAATTATTAATTACAAATCTGTATCTCAAAAGATAATATCGTGACCTCAAGTGCATAAATATCTTCTTACACCCATATAAGATGTAAAGTGCGAACCTCAAAGGCAAAACAGCACACATATAGTACAAGATGGCAAATAGAGACAACAAGGGAAATTATGATTAAAAAAGCCTTGTTAAACGTAAGACAGTGTTTGGTATTTGAGGCTCGACCGCGTGAGGTGATAAATCAAACACAGATCCAGAAGTAGGAAATAAGTGTTAATCTGATTTATGTGCTGCTGCTGATTCATTCAGAACTTTTAAACAAATTCCCTTTTGGATTATGAATTTGTTCTTTTACTGCTGCTTTCTTCTCTGCGGCGACAGAAAAAACTGCAGCAAAAAGACAAAGGCCATAAAATAAAGCCATGAAGCCAAACTACAAATAAATGAACTACCCAGAATGCTACAGGGTTTGCATGTTAAGAAACATCAAGGGTATCATTAGAAGAAAATGTTCAAATGGGAAGTTATTGTGGGTGAAATTACTTACGGAACCGGCGGCCATTTCTTCAACCGGCAGTAGACACACAAACAAAAAACCTGCAGTAGCATAATGAGAACGAGCAAGAACCAAGACACCTCAAAGTCTGGTTTGTAGCAGACTAATGAAGCAGGCTGGCGCTAATCTGGTAACCTGCTGTGTGCATGTAACTACTCTACAGTGAATGAATGAAGTGATTACATTAAAAAATGACTTGGAAACCTATCGGATCGTGATATGAAAGCCTGCGTCTTCCCCCTCTGGATTTGTTTTGTTCACGTGTTCTCTTTTTTTGGAGCGTGAATTTCCAAGCCGATGAAAGTAACGACAGAATAAAACACTTCAGCTTTAAGTACCTGCTGCTACTAAGAGTACTTGTGTCAGCAGTGACGGGAGTAGTACTCCGTCACGGATCACCGCCCACACCAGCGTGAAGGCATGAAGCAAGTGACGGCTAAAAGTTCACCGATGCGTTTTTTGTTCTCAGACGGACGAGGGTGGTGGTGGTGGTGGTGGGGAGGGTGGGGGCACATGAAACAGATGGAGGCTGCGTGTAACAACAGCATGGAATCCTGGCACCAGAAGCAGGGCGTGTGAAAGGGAGACAACGACGACGCGGCAAAAAAAAGTTTCTCAGTCGCAAGAAACAGAAGAAACAGGAAAAAGTGTTGTTTTGTTTTTAACCACATGCACTGTTGTTCAGTTGCCAATTAAGCAAAACCCAATCCTTGATTATCATCATCCTACTAATCTGGAATTAATCTATTCCAAGTAATCTAGGGACAGTGTCCTGGCTCTGCCGATCGTGCAGACGTGCGAGTGTCCCCGGATGCTCTCGTTGGCACGATTTGGACTGTTCTCCCTACGACACGATATCAAATCTGCACGGCGTCACGCCAGCGTGTGTGTGTGTGTGTGTGTGTGCTTTTGGGCCACCGGTCCCACTGGCGCTGTCCAGCTGGCACACCGGAAAAAAAACG